AGTGATGGAATGATGGCAAGATCGGTGTTGTACCGCGAGCTTATCGTTCTAGTGGTTAGACGGTTTCACGATGTTTCGTGACCCAATGATTATGTGATTCATGTAGGTGAGACCCATAGTCGAGGCCTGCTTATTATGTTCTCTTGGGTGGGACCTGTGGGCGAGGCCCGTTGAATATGTTATCTTGGCGAAATATTTGAATGTGTGTTAGAAGGACACAATGGTCTGAAGAATATAATTTGAAATGATAAATTTATAAGGGTAATTTTTGATATTTTTTTTACATTGTAGCCGTTATTTAACGGCTAGAAAAACACCTCATGCATCAAAATTCACTAGCTTGCTGCTTATTCGTCCGTCCCATTCGTTGTATTCTCCACGAAGCGCCACAACCGTGGCACCGGGGATGATGCGCACGACTGTGGCCTAGCTGCCACCTAAGCCTTGAATGATTTGTTCCATTCGTTGTATTCTCCACGAAGCGCCACAATAGCAACTTACATTTTATTTGTTCCTGGTTATATCGACATACTTTATACAAACCCGGTTTCAATAGATAACAATAATGTCCTTTACATAAACTCATGATAATAGCAACGTATTGAAAGCATGTCGTTATTACAAATAAAACTAGAATTTTTCAGGTCACTGATTGCTCTAATCATGGATAATTTGATGGTATATTGCTATTATAATTCCTGAATTTTGGTAAAGTATGTTGTTGTTTCTTGGTATTAATCTTTAAAAGAGATAATTGCATTTGTCGCATATGTTTAGCTTAGTTCACATGTTCCTTTCATTCCAATCCACATGGTTAAACAATTTCTTAGCTAAACATGCTTCATTTCCTTGAAAGTACTACTCAATTTCTTTCTGTAGTTGAAAAAAGGGACAATTGCAAGAGATATCAATGTACTTCACCAAAATTCTGGATTATACCAACAAACTTTAATAACAATAGCAACCCACATGTCTACATTCCATTTATTTCGGGTTACAACAATGTATTTTTATTTTTTCTCGTTCTTTAATATAACTCACGATTACAGCAAACACTTTCAATAGATAATAATATGCATGCTCTTTACCAAAATTCTCAATTATAGCAACACACTTTAATAACAATAACCATAAGTGCATTCATATGTGTAATTATGACTTATATATTGTATACACAAATCTACGGGATGAGAAGTGTTCAAACTGACTCACTGATTTGCAAACTTTGTAATACGGGTGAAGAATCTGCAGACCATCTGCTTACAAGCTGCTCTTTTGCTTCAGAAGTCATTAAAAGGACTCTTAACCGGTGCGAAATTCCTCGAGGGCAATTTACACAGGCGACAGAGTTGCTAGATTTTGGTGTCCGATAGGGAAATTGCCCTAAAAAACGCAAACAACTATTAGCCATTCTATATGGTCTTATTTGGGGAATCTGGAAGGCTAAGAACAACAAAATCTACAACAACATGGTTCAATCCCCTGCGACGTTAGTTGATGATTTCATCTCATTGGTTTTCTTTTGGCATAAATTTAGGGGGTCATATAACTCATGTAAATGGATTGAGTGGTGTTGTTTTCCTTTCTTATGTTGTAATTTGTAAACTCTTGTTTTTGTCCTCTTGTCTCCGGTTAGTTTTTTTGCTAGTCGCATGGTCATTTTATATATTATTCCACGTTTCCAAAAAAAAAAATTAACATCGAAAAATTAAGATATAAAATATTTTATGATGAAAGGACCTTAAAGGACTCGTGCTTTTTATTTGCCCGTCCAAAAAATGGCTATCCACGAATATAGAGGAGAGGATAAAGCAGTCATTTAACTCGGTACCCAAGCATCCTCACATCTCCGATTTAGCTCCATGTTTGACAATTTCTAACCTGAACGTCTTCCTTCATAAACTCCCCCACACCACCGCGACGCCTCCCTAATCCCCTTTTCTGTAGCGGCTTCGCGTTTACAGATGGCATTGGATAAAGCTCAGCTTCTTCTCGTAGGGTTACCTCTCTTTCTCTTCTGTTCAGACGTCTTCAACCTCTTCGCACCTGCACCTGCCAAACCCGCCGCCCATCACCACCATGTTCCGCCACAAAAACCCCAACAGTTTCAAACCGCGTCGATCCAACAACCCCTCGATTTCCCCACGCAGGTTCTATTAAATCAAAAACCATTTTCTAAATTGATTGTCATGATCGGCTTCTAGGTTGAATATCGATTGTAATCCTTCTTTGATTGTGATTTCACAGAAAGCCAGTGGGTTTGGTGGAGGGATCGGCTTAGGTAACACTGTCCAGATTGACTTCTGCGCCTCATGTTCTTACAGGTTTTAATTCGTCTCCCCCTTTCTATTTATAGTGATTATAAGGTGCTTTAGTGCTTACTTTTATGTGTTTTAGGTTGTTATGACTTGAAATCATACACATACATGTGTTTTCTTGTCTTTACTACTGAAAACTGGTTGGGTTGATATATATATATATATATATATATATATATATATATATATATATATATATATATATATATTCGATGAGTCTGCATATGTGGTTATAGTTTTGAAAAGGTAAAGAAGTATAATAAGCAATGTTAAACAATGCAATCGTTAATTCAGAAATCAGAACTTGGGGTTTACTGAGTAATAAGCTTTCTCAAAGGAATTAATCTATTCAATCCTATAACTCACAAATTAATCAAACCCTCTAAAATCAAACATAACACATCTTGTCAGAGTCTTGTTATAACATATCACTGGGCTTCTTTTAAGTGTTACTGTGTTATACATCTTATTTTGTTATTTGTTCTTCTTGATGCCATGCATTCTTGTATCAATGAATGGTACTCTTGTTCAAACTTAATACTCCATGGTGCCAAATCTAGAGTCCAATTCCGATTTTGAACAATCAAAGACAATCCTAGTGTAATCTCAAATATCTGAGGTAGGAAACCTAAGACATTGATTGTTGTTTGACAGGGGAAATGCAGTGACAATGAAGAATATGTTGGAATCAGAATTTCCAGGACTGAATGTTGTTCTTGCAAACTATCCACCTCCACTTCCAAAACGGTTATTATCCAAAGTTGTGCCTGTGGTTCAATTTGGTGTGATTGGTGTGGTGATGGCGGGTGAACATATCTTCCCAAGATTAGGGTTTGCAGCACCACCTCCTTGGTTTTACTCCATGCGTGCAAATAGATTTGGAACCATTTCTTCAACTTGGCTACTTGGAAATTTCCTTCAAGGTTTCCTACAAAGCTCTAGTGCCTTTGAAGTTTCCGTCAATGGTGAACGGGTAAACTCACATTCACCTTTCTTTTATATACTAATCTAGGACTATCACTGTCACTGTCATTGTCACTGTAGTACAAGTCTAAGTCTGTATTTTGTATACTTGTATGTAATGTAGGTATTCTCGAAGCTGAGAGAGAAGAGATTTCCTGGAGAAATCGAGTTGCGAGAACTTGTTGGCAAAAAGATTGCGAATTCAAGAATTGTAGATGGAATCGATGGATCAATTTGGTCTTAGTGCTCATTTGGCTACTTTATGTGTTGCTTTGCATAAACCTAATGGTCTATTGTGTTTTGTTTGGTTGACCTCTTATGACATGCAAAACTTATAAATATAAAGACGGTTTTGATTGTTTTAATGTTTACAATGTTTTTGAGATTAAATTAGAGAGTACATCGGTTGGGTTGGCCCACACTGAGCAGCACGAGCCCATTGTGTGGGATAAATCAGGTACATAGTGGTCTGCTAAACAGACTGGTTAGCAAGGAGCTAGTTGCATAGCGTTTGGTTGCCTAGTTTTGTGATTTCCCCACATTCCTTTTGGGTAAACTCTTTTACACAATCGTTTTAGTCTAATGTGTTATATGATAATTGTCACTAAGGAATAGTTTTAATATTTTTAAAATGATTTTCATAAAGTCTAAATAATGAGTTTTTTTGTCAAAATGCAATTTAACTTTGCTATTTTTTATTACTTGTAAACTGTTGTGCTATATAGTAACCCACAATATCAATCTATTTCATGTAAATTGATTGTTAGTTATATTAATTAGTGTTTGTCATTAAAATTATAAATGTTGTTATGTAGCATACTAATATGAGAGACTAATGGATTAATAAAATGTTGAGAACCACATATTAGGCAGTTGGGTGTGGGCAACGCCCAAGGGGGCGTTATTGCATGTTATAACGGCGCAAACACCGCCCCACCTCCCCGTTATTGCGCGTTATTACCTTGCACGTTACTTTTCGTTACCACCACCACATCCTCTAACGCCGTTTTCTTCTTTTTTCTTCAAAACACGTGAGTGGGCGTTGTCCACTCCGACCAGTCTTAAAAAAAAATGAATGTGACCATAAAACCTTGTCTTAGTCAATTGCCAAAAAATGACAGGCAAGTAATTAGGTATTTAAATTTTGTATTAAACTATTAATAACATAAGATGTGTTTATGGTTTTGAATTGTACCCCTTTGAAAGATATATTTTTCGATTTGTTACGAAACATTTGAAGTTTTGGTTGGATTATTGAACAATAATTTCAACACATATAGTTCACTTTTACAGAAAGAACATTCTTATATTCGTACTGGTTTCTCATATGAAACCTTTTAAGAGATTTAATCACTGCTAATTGCTTTTATTTACGCATCAATGAAGACTTGCATTTAGTCGTAAGTCCCTCTCTTTAACACATCACAACACATTCGTTTTTGTTTGCATCTCTTTAATGTAAATGATGCTACAAACGTTTGTTTAAATAAAACGTAAATGCATTTTCGAGACCATTTCATTTTCTAAATTTATAATATATATGTAACAAAGCAACCCATAATCAGATCGGTGCCCGTTACCGACAAAAAAAAAAAATCAAAAAAGGCAAAATTTTAGTAATAAAAAACACTTGTACATATTTAGCAATTAGATTTTGGAAGCGACGTGTGATCCAAAAATCTATTTTTTTTTTTTTCATTTATCTTCTTCTTCAAACCGTCACCGATTCAACAGGGACCCCACTACCCTAACTTTCATCTGGAACTCCGTCAACGCCGTCAAGAACTTCAAGTTCTGCACCGGCGTCAATATATCCGCCACCCTCACCGCCGTCCTTGTTCTCAACATATCCGCGTTCGCTACCACCACCCCCATCTCCATCTTCAACGCCTCCATAGCTGATTCCACCTGAGTACATTCCTCCCCCCTCGCCATCCTCCGCGCCAATTCAAGTATAGGCGGCGCCGCAACACTCTCTTGAATCCTCGCCAATTCATCCCCTAACTCCTTCTCCTCCACCATGGTCTCCGCCTTCAACCTCTCCATCCTCTCAACCTGATCCCCGCTCAAATCCTCCACCGACTTGCTTACCAACCGAAACGCTACCCTCGGTTTAACGCCGGCGATCCAGAAAAAACTCCGCTCCAATGAGGAACACCACGGCGGGCAGAAAACGAGGAAAACGTCATAATTCGCAATTCGGGATTTTTCCTCGAAGTATTCCTGGTAATGAACGAGGACACGTGTGATTAAATCTCGAAGATCTTCTTCTTTAGATTCGTGAGAAGTTGCTAGAGTTGATCGGAGCTCTTCCAGGTAATGTTCTTGACGAACAAACCAACCTTGGAGGAAATCTTCGAATGCTCTTACGTTTCTGTTGGTTCTTTCTGCTGTTGCTCGAGGATCTCTAGACATTTTATGCTGGATATTTTTTCAGAATTTCCGGTGTATAACGACGGAATTTATAGGGTGAGGTTGGTGGTGGTGGAGATATTTTTGACGGAGAGAGAGAGAGAGAGAGAGAGTGTACAAGTGGCGGATGCGTTGAGAGGCGACTCGTGGAAGAACACACAGGAAAACCCTGGAAGAAGGAACTACCACAATGAGACACCTAAGCCTTCGTGTACAGACTGAATCACTAAAGATTTGTATCTTCATTAATTTTATATTCAGTGTGAAAAAAGATTTGGTATAATTTTTGCGATTTATTCACTAAAATGTAATATTACGAGGTTCTGTTCAAATGAAACTGGTTTGAACCGGCCGGTTGGATCGAGAACCGGAGAAAGAAACGGTTTAATTATCATCGGTTTTACATTGATTTTTCAACCGGATTGAACCAATCGGTTTTTAGAAAAACTCGGTTGAACCGATCAAAATAAACCGGTTAAACCGAATAAAAACATATTAGAAAAAAACCATTTACATAATAAACTTTGATTATTTTTTTTCAAATATATTTAGTTTTCTCTAAATAAAAACATATGGTAAATGTTATAAAGTTTTTTGATGTGTTTGTATTCATTTAAAACTATATTTTGTTTCGGTATTATACTTTTTTTTTTAACGTATATGAATTGATGTAAAATACTAAAATTTATGGTTATGTGTTATTTTAATGTATTTGGATTGATCTACAATTTATTTTTATGTATATTTTTAATGTTTGAACTTATAAACGTTAAATTTATGATTTATATATGTATGTATGTGTAGGAAAATAAGAAAAAAGATGAAAATTATAAAAATTGGTTGACACGACGGTTAAACCGAGAATCGGTCACCATACCGGTTCAACTAAAAAACTGGTTTTTAAAACATTTGGTTCTACGTCACGATACAACCATATGTCTTGGAATTTAACAAAACTATTATTTGAGGCATCTCTTGCATTTGCGGTTAAAAAAATTCTCTTACAATTAATAAAAGAGTAAATTACACGAATGATCCCTATGGTTTGGGGTAATTTGTGCGTTTGGTCCCTAACTTATTTTTTTAACTCGGAAGGTCCTTACTATTTCTTTTTGTTACGCGCTTGGTCCCCACTGCTTGTTTTTGTTACGCGCTTAGTCACTGTCTTACCTAAAAAGAATATTATTTAAATATGGAAAAATGGTGGGGTAGGTAAGGTAAGGTGAGGGGATAGGGTTGGGGTGTGTTATTTAAAAAAATTAAAAAAATCAATGACAAAATAGTCTTTTTAGATAAGACAGGGACCAAGCGGGTAACAAAAACAAACAGTAGGGACCTTCCGAGTTAAAAAAAACAAGTTAGGGACCAAACGTGAAAATTACCCTAAATCATAGGGACCATTTGTGTAATTTACTCTTAATAAAAATAAAAACTATAAAAAATTGTATGAAAGACCAAAAAGATAACAATATAGCAAAAGATCAAAATTATAATTTATAAAATATCAATAGTTTAGTTTAAAATTAGATAAAACTTTACAAATGGTCCTTATGATTTTTATTTAATCCGTAAAACAGTCTTTATGAAACAATTTTTTTGCAAGAATGGTCATTTTGGACAAAATCGTGCACTACAGTCTACAGTGGTCCTTCTGACGGATGTCCGTTAAATTGAGCCGTTAAGTTCAGGAAAATTTGGATAATGATCATTTATGATATTTTATGAAACTTCACCTAAGGACCATTTGAGAAATTTAGAAGAAGTCTATTAAATCTTGTATTAATTAACATAAATCAAATAAAAAGACAAAAAAAAATACTAAACATAGAAAATGTAATATTTATATAAATAAAAAATAAAACTTACTAATTTTAATCATCATGGAAATATATTTTATTTAACATATAGATAATATTTGTTGTCTAAACTTTATCTAAAATATTTAAACTACAATATATCATTAAATATTTTTGTGTTCTATTTTTTTTATCTATTTTTAATTTTTACATGATATTATTTTCGATTTATCTTTATTTTTCTTATACAAATATATTTATTTTTAGCGAAAAAAATATATACGATACATTATTATTTCTGAAACATAAACATTTTAAACATATAAACTCTTTTTATTTTCCTTTAAAGAAAATGAATTGAATGTAGATAATGTCATATTATCCATATGGTTAATTATTTTAGCATGTGTAGCGTTGTAGGTGAAAAAAAGGCTAAAGTAATTATAAAGATTTAATTCTTTTATTATCAGCTAACATACGATTATTTTTAAATTTTCCTTTGAAAAATTGATGTCTTTATTAAAGAACTAGGTTATAACCCGTGGAAACCACGGTTAAAAATTAAACGAATTTTGATAGCTAAAATTCTTAATTATTATCAATCTTTTTCAAAAAATTATTAAGTAGTAGACTTATGTAATTGTTATGTAACTTTATAATGATTGTTTCAAATAAATATGTGAATTTTTTTTAAGATACATGAGACATTATTGATGTGTAAATTAATGAAAAAAGTTATGATATTATAATAAAATATAAAGTTGATTATAAAATAAAACAATCACAATCAATGAAATAAATGAAAATTAGTATATGGCAAAATACAAATTAATTTATTGTAATAAACATATATTAAAATATAATTATAAAGTCTACTAATATATAGTAATATTTAACAGTCAAGTGCAAAATCGATGTGCAGTTTGCTTCTTGACTTTCTTAATTTGAAGAGGAAGACTTCCACTGTTAATTCCAAATTTATATTCAAGAGACTGGTCTTCATTCCCATTAGCAGGAAGTAGTGACTCAAATGGTTCACGTTATTTAAAAATCATCAATATCAAATATGTTAGTTTTTCTCAATATCAATATAAAATTAATGTCAAAAGAATATAAAGAAAACATCTATTTATACCAACAACCATATCAATTTGCAAGAAAAGATACTTATCATAAAAAAGAAGTTTTAAGGCTTTTGTTCTATAGAGGTTGGTTGAACTGTGTAATTTCGTAAAAAATATTCAAAATTAAAAAATTCACACGTTCACAATATTTGCTAGTAATATGTGATTTACCGTAACATGGACCATTTTTAAGAAATGAGCAAAAGAAAAGAATTTCACTAAATCCATTTTGCAAACCTTATAGATATCATTGTGATAAATGTTCTACGATGATAAAAGCCTATGATTTTGGTTATTATAGTGATTATCCCATAAAAGTTTTTTAAGTTAAACTACATTCATTTGTAAATTTCATGAATCCGTGATTTCAGCTGTCCAAAGAAATACATATTTCTAGTTTTACACTGTATACGTACATGTTATATGTTAAAAGTAAAAATAACTGGACATCTAATTCTAAGTCCTCATAAAATATGTTCATTATCAATACTCAATAGTTAATATCTACTGTCATTCGTCTTAATTCTTTGGTTTTAAATTATATACAATTCATTTCAGATCATCATATCTACACCTGGACAAAGCTACACCTGTTTTAAGTCTTGAAAAGAACCATATCAATGTCTATGTAAAAGCTCACAAAAGGATTTTTCACAAACCATCAACTGAAGTATTTACATCATCGACCCTTGTACCAGAAGCACCATCTATTGTTTTACTGGAATAACCAGAAAAATAAAGTTTAATAAGTGTGTCTTCTAGCCTATAAACAGAAAAATAAAGTTTAATAAGTGTGTCTTCTAGCCTATAAACAGAAAAAGAGTCACCAGTCAAAATTTTAAAGTAAAAAAAGAAGCCAATAGAATTCAATTTTCAAATAAAAGAATAAATTATTGATCAAAAGAAACCAATAAGAAATCGTTAGTAGATTTTCAGGTACCATATATCGGTTAAACAGTCTATAGCAACTGCAAAAAATACCATATAATTGTTTACAACTAATCAACCACTCCACATTATTTTGAATAATAATGAAATTAAAACCAAGATGAACAAAAAAAGCGATATGTGGATACGTAAAATCACCTGTTGATTTGTTGATTCATTGGGGGTTGCTTCCTCTACTACATTACCTTCAAATTCCTCATCTCCAAACTTAACATCATTTGTATATGTATCGCAAGGTGCATGCTGGTAAGACTGGTCATGAACAAAATAATCACCAACAGTATCTGTGCCTTGATTTGTATTTGAGTCATCAGCCTGAAAGTTAAGAGTTACTCAAAATTGTTACCAAAACTAATAAACTGGGCATTTTCCAATTATTCACTTATCCTCTATTGTTTCTCACATAATCAACTTTCACAGTTTCCACACCTACAGACAATAACTGTTATAGGTTAAAGAGAAACACTAAAGGAGGCAAAGATAGCATTTTGCGATAACATATACATCAAAGTTTTCATTTGGGAAAATTATCGAACAGCTGACATGCGTTATGAGGGGGGAAGAGAATTAGTTTTTGGTGAGGAGAAAGGAGCAATAGGGGAGATGGAGGACAATGATTCGATGCACCGAAGAGGCCTGGTGGTGATTAACCTTTTTCTTCGCCTAATAATTATTGCTTATTGAACCAAAAATCAGCCGCGACAAGGGAAAGATTATCGGAAGGGTTGAACACCAAGAAAAAAAATTGCGAACAAAAAGAAAATTGTTTATATTTTAGAGCGTATATCTAGCCTTTTCCAGCTAATCAACCCATAAATCTCGGTGATCAATAGTTGATTTATCCTCTTCAAGTTGGAAACTCGTATGAGTTTGAAAAAGTAGGAAAAAAAAGCTGATATTTAGGGAGTTAACTTGGTTGAAAGAATGGGCGGGAATAAGAGTCACATGGCTTAAGAGAAAGTGCCACGTGGTAAAGAAGAGGGTAGAAAACAGACACGTGGCATGCTAGGGATTCTTTTATTATAAGAGAAGATATATTCAAAATTAGATAAAACTAATAATTTTTTAAATTAAATACCAAAATTTTATATCGAACCCATATAAAATTTACTGTATTTATATTATAAAACCAAAA